CCAACAGTCAGCAGAAAACACATTCAGCCACATCACTAGGGTCTGGACAAGCGCTGATTTCTTTGTAATGCTCTTCTCAGCAGGCTTAACCTCTTAATTAATCAGAGAATTTTTTTAATTGTGTGTTTCCCCCTGTTTTCTATACCTCATAAGTCTTATAAGATTGCATTGCCTGTGTGCCCAGGGATACTAAGCAGTTCTCAAAGCAAACAAACAAAAATAATTATTTAATTAACCCTTAATTGACTCCCAGAAGCCCATGTAAGGAAGAGAGTCTGTTTAATGCCTTTGCACAGTTACTCTTAGCCTACCTTCATTCAGATCTAGATTCTTTACTTGCTCAGACGCAAGAAAGAAAAGCAGATGATGGAGGGAGAAAAGATTCTTCACGTATCAAACAATCCAATTCAATCAGCAGACCCCACCAATACTGCATAAGTCATCTATGCTCAGTCTCCCACATGATACTTCAGCAATACATGGATAGGTGTGAGGGCTTAGAAGCTGGCTCCTGGTAGATCCCTCTTGCATCCTTGGGGTATGGCAGAGCAGTCTCAAGCCCCCTTCACCATCATGCTTCCCCAAGCACTGTAGTACGCACTTTTAAGGCACAAATTAGTAGGCACAAATAATATCTTTTTCATCTGGATGCCAATTTGGGGGCTTTGGATGGCCTTGGGCCACTTCACAGTTGAAATATTCACTTGATCTAATATGAAAATTGACAGTCAACTCATGGGGAGATTTTTTTTTTTGGCCATTCTTTTCACCAAAGATTCTTTAATCTCTTAACTGTGGGAAAAGTCTCCACCTTCAGCACAAAGTTCTCCAGGAAACCTCTGCCTTTGGCAGAGTCTGTATTCTAACTGGTTTCCAAGCATACAGACACATCTGCTGTATAAAGAAGGTCTTAAAATGCGAAGTCCAGTAAAGAGGATTTCTCTATCTAAACCATCTGTCATCAAGCCCTGCTATAGACTGAGTGTCTGTATTCAACTGAAACTCCTATATTGAAACCTAGTCCCCACCGTGATGGCATTGGGGTGATTAGGTCATGAGAGTGGAGTCCTCATGAATGGAATTAGTGCCCTTACAAAAGTGGCTACAGAGAGCCCCCTTGTCCTTCTGCCATTCAAGGATACAACAAGAAGACAGCCATCTAAGGACCAGAAAGCAGGCCCTTACCAGACACCAAATCTCTTGGATCCTTGGCCTTGGGCTGCCCAGCCTCCAAAACTGTGAGAAACAATGTTTGTTGCTGATAAGCCACAAATCTGTTTCATTTTTTGAGCAAAAGTAGATTTATACAGAGAAATACATACTCCATAGACAGAGTACAGGCCACCTCAAGGCCAGACAGATCATGAGGCATGGAGGTGGATGTTTGTTTAAAGTAAAAGTAGACACACAGTTCACAGACAGGGTGTGGTCTGTCTCACTCAGAAGGAAGAGCAGCAGCAAGGTGTGGGGTACTTAGTTTTTATGGGCTTGGTAGCTTCACATGCTAACAAGTGGGAGGATCAGTCCAACTGCTTTGGTGAAAGGGGTGGGGATTCCCAGAAACTGGGCCACTGCCCTCTTTCTGGCCTTTTATGGTCAGCCTCAGAGCTGTCATGGCACCTGTGGGAGTGCCATTTACCATGTTAATATTTACAATGAGCGTATAATGAAGCTCAAGTCTACTGGGAAGTTAAATGTCCTGCCATCTTGGGCCTCAAGGTCTATTGGGAGTCGACTTCTCCACCATCTTGGTGCTAACTGCTGTGTCATTCCTTTAATGGCTGTGCCCCACCCCCTTCCTTCCTGTCTCATTCCCCTCTCAGAGATTTTATTCCCATATTCCTACAGGAGTGCAGAGGGGTGGTGGTCCATCTTCCATAGCTACTTAAGGCATGAGTAGGGGCATTGACTCTGCCTGTCAGGGAGTAAAAAGTCTCTGCATGTCTAATCTAGGGACCCCAGGGGCAGGACAGCTTCTTGGTTTTGAGTCACAGGGTGATATGGGCTGGAATCCCTGCATTAACATCATCTTGACATGGATCTGTTGTAACCTGGAAGACATAAACTTCACAAAGAGGTTAAAGAGGTGCAGTCCAAGGAGGAAGAGCAGAAGCATGATCATTAACTGTAAATGAGAGCAAATGTCCTTATGTACAGGATCCCTCATGCCACACATTATTGATCTAAAGATACGCATACTTATAGGAGCCGAGTTTTCCCTGCGGTGTGCTTGTCTTTGCGTCCTCGTTCTGCAGAGTGCCACATATCCAGAGACACCCCAAGGTGCAATAAGAGATCTGGGGGCAGACAAAGTCTAACATGGAAGCAGCCATCTGGGCCACGAAAGAGGCAAGTTATAAACCCAGTGTGGAGACGACAACGGTCCATGAGTATCAAGTAGTTAAGTCCAGGTGCATTTCATGGCCTGGGCTTAGATGAGATGGTGCTGTACATGGTTTTTACCCATCACTTCCATAGCCTTCTTATGAGTCTTCTTGAAGATGAGGCACTTTTGTAACAGCAGTTTAACTGTCTATAAATGACAAAAGACTTAAAAAGACACTGTTAAACACCTGATTACAATGTAATCGATAAAGAAACTTGGTTATAACAACTAGAATTATGACTGATTATAGTTTAACCCTTAATAGTCTTAAATCCAAGACTATTAAAAACCAAGAAGCAAGTAATAGTGCATTGGTTATTTTACCAGCATTTCCGGTTTAGAAAACTTTTGCTTTAGCCTTTCTCTCCTGAGAAGGCAAAAGTAAGTAAACTTAGACCTGCCCAGCATTTCATGTTCCAATATTTTATAAACGACCCAGATAGTCAATGAGTTCTCTTTATTTAGCTTAGTTTCAAGTTTCAAGTACTAAAACCTGGAGAGACTGTTTTAAGTAGACATTGTCAAAACATAATCACTCCTAAAGGGTTTACCCCAAAACTTCTATTTTGCTTACATTTACTTTCCTTGAAAGGTTTTTCACATTGAGTTACTTTCCTTGCTGAAAATTTGCAACAGATACAGTAAGCCCAGGTACAACAGAGGTATGACACTTAATGCTGATGACTCTAAACGTGTCTGTGTAAATCAAACCAACAAGCTTAAGCCAGCTTCAGTACCAATACCAGTACTGAACACTTCCCAGATCACATGAACCTGAAATTCACTCTGGTCAGTTTCTTTCATATTTATAAGTATTCATCTAAGCACTTAATTGCCTTTAAGCCAGTTTAATAGAGCACTGTATACATTAATTTTGGCACTACTGTACACGTGTGACACACAAACACACAAAACATAGAAACCTTATCGTTCCCATTCCAAAATTTTAGCCGTGCATTGGTACAACAATGTAAAACCCATCAGTTACAACAGATTGGATTCAAATTGGATTTTTGGCAGATGGAACAAATCAAAGTCTCCTGTCTCGATGGCCAAACATTTTTACTAATATTTGTGGAAAAGAGACAAGATTTCTATTTGTCCTTAACAAGTCAAGTTCCAAATTACCTACTCCCTTTTTGCAAAATTTGCATTTCAAAGACACAGAAAGGCAAGTTCCTCCTAGGATAATTTTATATCCTTAAGGCCAGAAAAAGGTTTTTTTCCCCCAATACTTACTCTTAAATCAAGTAGAGGAGGTTTAGGGAGTGGCAAAAGGAGTGGTGGGCTTTGGGTTATTTCTAGAGTCACATTTCTAGTCCTATAAAGACTACATTTATAAAACAAAGACAGCTTATTTTCCCCCTCATTTGATTTAGGGGAGAAGGCCTCTCCCCAAAATTCCTATCAGGCTCTGAATATCAGCTATAGTCAGTTCAGCCAGACTGGTGGCCTCTCATGTTGGAAATCTATTTGCAAACACTTGTGGGATCCTCCCTGGGTTTAAGAAATTCTCTAATTACGGCCTTCAGTTTGGCCTTTAGATGTCAATATAGCCCACAGCCTCAGGTGGTCTCATTTCTGAGGTGGCCTGACAACAGTAGCTCTGTCAGGCACCTCAGTGTCCCAGACAAGAGGGTTCACTTGAGAAATGATATGGGGTGGAAGGGAGACTTCCTCTGACATGGGACTGAGGCAGACTCCCGATGCAAGGGTAATCGTTTTTCTTGGTAGATGTCTTGTCAAGAGGGCCTCCAAATTGGATTATTGTCTGGAATTTAGTGAGCAACTCCCTTCCCAACAAGGGGATGGGGCCCTCAGGCATGAGCAGAAACTGATGTGCAAAGGTAAAATTTCTTAGCAAGTGCTTGGTTGGGGCCATTTATTGATCCCTGTTATTACACAGGATTGGGAGGACAAGGGTCCAGGGAAAATCAATCAGCACAGAGTAGGCAGCCTCCATATCTAATAAGCAAATAACTTTTCTATCTGTCACATCAAGGGTTACCTGAGGCTCCTCCAGAGAAATGACCAGGCGTCCCTCTAGAGCCAGGAAGGGTGCCAGGCCCCGTCGGTCTTCAGTCCTCTTGGCCATCATTGGTTTGGGAATCCCGAACCCCTTCAGGACTGCAGGCAGTCCTGCTTTATGGTTTTTTTTCTTTGAAGTATGGTCAGTTTACAATATTGTGTCAATGTCTAGTGTACAGCATAATGTCTCAGTCATACATATATATATATACATACATTCCTTTTCATATTCTTTTTCATTATAGGTTGCTACAAGATATTGAATACTATACTGTGCTATACAATATAAAATTGTTGTTTATCTATTTTATGTATAGTAGTTAGTATCTGCAAATCTCAATCTCCCAATTTATCCCTTCCCACCCCGTATCCCCTCTAGTAACCATGTTTATTTTCTATGTCTGTGAGTCTCTTTCTCTCTCTCTTATTTTTTTTTTTTGGTGGGGGGAGGTAATTAGGTTTATTTATTTATTTATTCTTAAAGGAAGTACTGGGGATTGAACCCAGGACTTCATGCATGCTAGCCATGTGCTCTGCCACTTGAGCTATACCCTCCCTGCTGTTTCTGTTCTGTAAATAAGTTCATAAAAACATGGCAGGCTTCACGGGTTTACATGTCATCCTTGTGCAGGGGCCGTGCTAATCTTCTCTGTATTGTTCCAATTTTAGTACATGAGCTGCCAAAATGAGCACGATGGTATTTTTGTCATGACAGCCTGAATTGACTAAGACAAATCCCAGCTTTAATACCCAAGCCGAGGCCTTCTGTCACAGATGCGCAGGACTCCCTTCTTTCTCCCACATGGCTGATACCTTCACAACAAATGTGACATGGAACTGGGGTTGAAAGCTACCTAATCTTTCATTCATTTAGCAAATATTTACAGAGTGTGTTGTGCTATATACTTTCCTAGGCCCTGGGGATAAAACTATGAATAACAGAAAATGCCCTTATAGAGCACACAATCCAGTGGGGAGTCAGGCCACTAACAAATAGGGGAATTACAGATGGTGACAAGCTCTATAGTACTATGAAGGAAGCGAACAAAATCATGAGAGGGTAAGCGGGGAAGCCACTTTAGATAGAGCCATCGGAGAAGGCCTTTCTGAGTGGGTCCACTTGGAGCTGAGGCCTGAGGGATGAAAAGGAGCTGGCCTGGAAGATCATTCTAGGAGTCACAGGTACAAAGGCCTGGAGGCAGAAAGAGACTCAGTGTTTGGAGGAACAGAGAGGAGACCAATGTGCCTGGGGTGTGGCGAATGATGGCAGAAAAATGAGAAAGGAGGGTGGAGATAGGGGCCAGGTCAAGCAGCAACTTTCAGACTACAAAAGATATCTGGGTTTGGGTTTTATTCTAGTTGCCTCAGGAAGCCTTTTAAAGGTTTTAAGCATGAATGTGATGAGATCTGATTTCTATTTTAAAAGCTGCTCTTCAGAGAATTTACAGAAGGGGCAAAAAGAACAAAAAGAAGCAGGGAAACCAGTCAGGAGGCTTTACCTGCCATCCAGGAGAGACATGATGATAGCTTAGAGTGGGGCTGAGAGAGGTGGATAGGTTTGAGATGTAGTTTGGAGGTAGAATTGGTAAGCCTTAGAGGATGTCAAGGTTGACTCCTGGGTTTGGGGCCTAAGCAAGTAGATGGTGTGTCATCTACTGGGGTGGGGAAGGCTTAGAAGAAACAGTCTTGGAAGTGAGGAATTGGACTCACAGACATAGAAAACTAACTTATGGTTACAAGCGGGGAAAGGGGGTGGGAAGGGATAAATTGGGAGTTCGAGATTTGCACATACTAACTGCCTTATATAAGACAGATAAACAACAAGTTTCTACTGTATAGCACAGGGAAAAGTAGTCAATATCTAGTAGTAACTTATAATGGAAAAGAATATGAAAAGGAATATATGTATGTATATGTATGACTGAAACATGATGCTGTACACCAGAAATTGATATAACATTGTAAACTGACTATATTTCAATTAAAAAAATAATAAAAGAGCTCTGCTTTGGATATAGTATGATTGAGATACCATTAGAGAGCCAGGTAGCGATGTCAAGTAGGTGATTAGATGAAAGTTTGGAGAGTAGGGAGTCATAGACAGTATTTAAAGCCATGGAAGGGAAAGTAGTCCCCTGGGGAGAGAATCAGGCTAGAGGAAAGTAGGAGATGCAGGTCCCAGCCTTGGAGCTCCATCATTTGAAAGTTGGAGAGAAGAGCCAGGAAGACAGACAGAGAGCCTGGTGCTGTAGGAGGAAGACCATGAGAGTATATTGTCACAGAAACCATGCAAATAGAGTATATCCAAAAAGACATGATCAGCCATGGCCAATGATGCCACGAGGCTGAGTAAGAAGGGGAATGGACATGTTCTTTGGATTTGCCAACTTAGAGGACACGGTGACTTCAGTTCCTCCATTAGTAAAATGGGTTGTTCTGAGGATTATAGATTAAAGAGAGCCTACATCTAAGACGTCATTAGCCTGAATTCAAATGATTTCCCTTTTTTTATTGATGTATTGTTACCAAACTCAGTTTCAACTGCTTGCTGCTCAAAAGCCAATAATTCGAGAGGCAAATGTCAGTAGAAAGGAAAATTGCTTTAATCAGAGAAGCCAGAAAATCTAGGGAGAAGGTGGACTCATGTCCAGAGACCAACTCTGAAGATTCTGCTCAGCCATGACAGTTTTTAAAGGGAAAAATGGGGGGAAGAATCTCAGTGAGTCATCATTGAGGCAGGAGGCTGGGTTCTGCATCATCTCCACTGTGTGCAGACTGGCTGACTCTCTCTCTTCAGATGTTATTTTGCCTACATGATCTGCCTGCAGGATTGCTAAAGGGGCTGTTGAGGGGGTAAAGAGTTAACCATTCTTTAACTGTTTAATTCTTCATTCTTACTTCTTTTTATCTAGGAAAAGAATCAACAGGTTAGGCAAGGCAGGTGTGCATTCAGGAGAACATAAGTCAGGAGTTAGTTTCAATTGCTCAGTGATCTTATTCTTATAATTAGGTTCTTTTAGGGTTAAAGGGGGACAGAAATGGGCAAACGAGAAAGAGACAAGAGAGCTGCTTTCAGTATAGTTGATGTACAATACTATAGAAGTTTCACATATACAACATAGTGATTCACAATATTTAAAGTTTATATTCCATTTGTAGTTTTTATAAAAGATTGGCTACATCCCCTGTGTTTTACTATATATCCTTGTGGCTTATTTATTTTATACATAGCAGTCTGTACCTCTTAATTCCCCGCCACTATCTTGCCCTTTCCCCTTTCCCTCTCCCCACTGGTAACCACTAGTTTGTTCTCTACGTCTGTGACTCTGGTTTTTTTTGTTGTTGTTGTTATAATCACTAGTTTGTTTTGCTTTTTAGACTCCACATGTAAGTGATATCATATACTGTGGACAAAATATCGCCTTGTCATTTCAGTAAAGAAAGGATGTTATGGCCATAAAGCCACAACCACTTCCGCAGCTCCGCGATGGTACACACTGAGGGGAATTCAGGAAGGAGAAAATCCGGGTACTGGCCCTAGATAGTTAAGATGCACATCGAAGGAATAATTTTAATGATCCTAGACACTTGCATCTTCCCATATATGGAGAACATTAAAATCATTAACTTAGACATCTGGGGTTGTGTGTGTGTGTGTGTGTGTGTGTTTAGCAGTAATCTTTTGATGTTTGAATACATGGCTTGTCTTTTCATTTGTTTGTTTGTTTGTTTGTTTTCAGCAAAAACTCCTCTATATTCTGAATGCCTCCTTCTCTCTTTGGAACAGTCGCTCAGAGCTATCTGAGAGGCTGTCTCCCAGCCTCAGGTCCTCAGTAAGTCGGCCAAATAAAATATAATTCTCAATTTTTAGGTTATACAATTTTTTTTCAGTCAACACAGTATTTTTCTTTCTCTGTTTAAATGATTTCACTTTTTCAGTGGTATGCTTTCAGTGATTTTCAAGCTTTAATATTTATTTGAATCACCCGGAGGGCTTGATAAAACACAGTTTTTATAATTCAGTAGATCTGTGAATTTGCATTCCTAACAGCACTCAGGTGTTCCTGAACCTCTATCCGTTAGACACACAGGAAGCTACAGTCTTTTCCAGGGGGTACTTTCTGCTCTTGATTTTGAGTATCCCCATGGCATCTGTATGTCCATGAATAGGCCTGGTTACAGCTTGCTGCTTCAGCATGTTGGTGAAAAGGGGACTCAAATACCCTTTGAGCTGGGCCCTACAGTTCCCAGTCCTAGCAGCCCCTCAGATGCACCACTCTGACCAAGTCACTCATGCCTGCTGGCCTCTGCCCCAGCGTGGGCAGCCAGGCACCTGCTGCCACTGCTAATAATGGAACCACAGCCACTCAGTAGAGCTAGAGATCTGTCAACAGCACTGGTATTGGTTTCTTGGCTTAAATCCCAGAAGTCCTGAAAGCATAAGACCCTAGTCTACTGACTCCTCAAGGCCTTAGTTTATGCCTCTGTAGGTTTTCCCAGACAGTAAAACTTCACTGAAATGGAAAGGAACACACTCCACCTCCACTAAACCCATGGCAAATCTGTCTTGTGTTGAGTGCATTAATCTCACACACATACACTCCTCCAGAGTCACCTCCACTCCATACACTGTTAAAGGGGCTCCCTTTAGGCCTTTGAATAAGGTCACTGGCCCAAAGTGAATCTTGCCCTGTAGGGATTTTCCTTTTGGGAACCCAATTGTCCTTTCCTGCAACCTTACTTTGGCTGGTCCTTCTCCATCGATCAGTCATGTGTTTTTGTAGTTTTAAATCTCAGTGGGATCAGAGTTCCAGTCCCCTCTATTTTGTGTTTGGGGTCAGTTTCTGAATACATCTGTGGCTGCAGAAAGATACAAGGGATTTCATCAGAATCCACCAACCACAGCAATTAAACTCCAAAAGCGAATAGATGCACTAAGGTGGGGGGGCTCTCAAAAAAAACTACCTAATCTTTCTCCCTCCAGCATCTCTCTCCCCCAGTTCACTTTGTCACATCGTTCCCTTTCACAAGAAATAGGGTTTCCCTATCCCACTCCTGGGCTTGTACCCAGAAGGAAATCTACTTCACGATGACACCTGCACCCCAATGTTCATAGCAGCACTATTTACAATAGCCAAAACATGGAAACAACCTAAATGTCCATC